AAAGCTGAGAATTGCTGGTTTCTTTGCGTCGTTACCTTTTCTAACATATCTTTGTGATAAAAGACTAAAGTCATCAATACACTGCGTTCAATAATAGAGAAAAAATAGCACAGATAGTGCGGATGTTGAATAAATGAAATGATCGCTCTTTGCAATCCTTGTGCGCGCGCTCAATTGCATCAGCAAAAGCGCGTGCGAAAACTGTGTTCGGCCACCTTAATTAGCATACTACTTATCATAAATTAAAATGCAGTTGAAACATAAATAGGCCATTTTACAGTTGTCTGCTTAGTGACTTGACTTGTCTGCTTAGTGACTTGCAGGTGACCCTGTTTTGATAAATACCTCACTGCTTTTGTTGCGTAAATGAAGTTGCTCAAATGCTAACTAGTTGACATTTAAATGAAAAAAGCAGAGAGGTCTGTATCAAAGCAAGGTCACCTCCAGCCTCGCTAGCATTCATGGCCAGGTAACTAAGCACACAACTGTAAAATGGCCTATTACAGGGAAACTAACCTCTAGCTCAATCCGGTTAAACTCGTCAAAACAGGCCCAGGCCCCTGACTGCGCCAGACCCTTAAAAAACTTTCCCATGGCTTTATAGTCCAGCCCATCAGAGCAATTGAAAACTACACACTGTGGACACAAATTAGAAACACGACTGTAATAATAATAATAATAATAATAATAATAATNCAATTGCATCAGCAAAAGCGCGCGAAAACTGTGTTCGGCCACCTTAAGTGAAGTTTCAGTGGCACAGTCACCATTTTGCTAATCCAATTTTCGCGAGTTTCCAATAAGGATCCTCAATTAACAAGCATGTTTTCAAACTTAAGGAAACCCAAGAAAGATTTTACTGATCAAATCTAACATGTGTTTGGAAAAGTGTATTCCATAATGGACTTATATGTCAATATTTATTACACTGATATCAGCGGTTGTATTTAGAAGGCTCAGCCCAACCCCCTGGTTTTAGCTGCGTGTTCCAGTTGTTAATAACTTGACTAACCTGAATCTTCTCTTCATTACTGGTCTTTGTCAGTTCTTTTGGCAATGACTCCGACCTAGAGGACCGTGGAAAGAGAAAATAACGCAACACGTTGGTTATAAAAGATGGAGAATATTCTGTGAAGAACTGTGTAAAATTGAACGGCTTAGAAGTGTAATAATTTGGACCACACAAAAATGTTCGCGAGGCATAATCGCCGTTAACATTATAATAGAGCATACACGAATTCCGAAAATTAAAGAATGCCTTTTGTAGTAATTCCCTGACCCCACTTAACCCACGGCATCCTCAAACAGCTGCGAATACCTGGAGAAGAATATTCAGTCGGAGGTTGTTAAGAAAAAAGTCTTTCAGGAGTTGATATACTAAATCTGGAAAAGGGTAGATTGCACAAGTGACCTTACAAGAGGAAGAAAAAAGCTTATTTTCGTTTGTTTTGCTTTTTTTTCTTTGGTCGTTTCTAACTTTTGTCTCAAAGGTAGAAAGAATTCGTTGTCTGTTTCCTTACCTTTTGAGCAATCTAATGGTTGGACGATTGTCTTCCTTCCCAGCTACGGTTTGAAGTTTCAAAGGCTAGGAACAAACAAAAGAGCGTACATTATTGATTGTGACATCTTTAGCCTGTTCTAAACAAAATATAGCAAAACAGAGAACTTGATTTATCTTGCAATAATTCAACTAAGTTACCCGTTTTACGACTATTTTTTTCCTCGCCTTCTAAATTACGGTTTACCGTGTGCGAGTTTGAAATAAATGAAACTCTATCGTTGGTAACCTGTAAATAGTTGTTAGGCGAATTATTTTTTCGCGCTCCGTATTCACTTTAAATCTTCAGTTTACGGTTGCTCGTAAATCTACGGCCCTGGTTCGGTCCTGTTTTATTCGTATGATCATGCGCACAAGAGAAAATATGACGACCCGTTCCCAGAGTCTCCCATCTCGAGAGCTTTAGTGTGAAAAAAGACTTGGTCTGATCGGCAGACATTTTTCTTAAGAATAAAATATTGTTAATCAATATGCCATTTTGGAAAAGCGTACTTTGAGACATATGAAGAGAAAAAGATTACCCTGATCAGCTTATAATTACAGTTAGCTCTACTACACGTTCAGTGCGTTTAATCTCAACTGGAATGAAAATTCCTTACTGTATTTTGTGCGGGCTAAAAACTATAGACTGAGTTAAATCTATTTTTCTATTAATATAATACTCGCGTCTTTTAACTAAATTATTCCTTAGATTAGTTTCGCTATCGATGGAATTAAATACAACCAAGATGGGGAAGAAGATGACTGCAAAAAAAAGCTGCCTCACTACAGCAGAAAAATGTGAGTTTCTCAACAAAGCAGCGATCCCGCGTACTTAGCAAAAATTATTCTGCAAACGTAAATTACCTGACTTGATTCAGTCTTGCTGTCAGATTTCAAGGCAGGAGCCTCCTCTCTTTGCACAGGCATATCCGCTGTGAACAAAAATTAATACGGTCTTCGGTGNTGCACAAGTGACCTTACAAGAGGAAGAAAAAAGCTTATTTTCGTTTGTTTTGCTTTTTTTTCTTTGGTCGTTTCTTCCTTTTGTCTCAAAGGTAGAAAGAATTCGTTTTCTGTTTCCATACCTTTTGAGCAATCTAATGGCTGGACGATTGTCTTCCTTCCCAGCTACGGTTTGAAGTTTCAAAGGCTAGGAACAAACAAAAGAGCGTACGTTACTGATTGTGACATCTTTAGCCTGTTCTAAACAAAATATAACAAAAACAGAGAACTTGATTTATCTTGCAATAATTCAACTAAGTTACAAGTTTTACGAATATTTTTTTCCTCGCCTTCTAAATTACGGTTTACCGTCTGCGAGTTTGAAACAAATGAAACTCTATCGTTGGTAACCTGTAAATAGTTATTGGGCGAGTTATTTTTTCGCGCTTCGTATTCACTTTAAATCTTCAGTTTACGGTTGCTCGAAAATCTACGGCTCTGATTCGGCCCTGTTTTATTCGTAGGATCATGCGCACAAGAGAAAGTACGACGACCCGTTCCTAGGGTCTCCCACCTCGAGAGCTTTAGCGTGAAAACAACTCGGTCTGACCGGCAGACATTTTTCTTAAGAATAAAACATTGTTAATCCATATGCCATTTTGGAAAAGCGTACTTAGAGACATAAGAAGAGAAAAAGATTAGACTGATCAGCTTACAGTTCCCTCTACTACACGTTCAATGCGTTTAGTCTCAACTGGAATGAAAATTCCTTTCTGTACTTTTGCGGACTAAAAACTATAGACTGAATTAAAACTTTTTTTTTTTCAATTTAATACTCGCGTCTTTTAACTAAGTTATTTCTTAGATTAGTTTCGCTACTGATGGAATTAAATACAACCAAGATGGGGAAGACGATGACGGCACAAAAAAGCTGCCTTACTACAGCAGAAAAATGTTACTTTCTCAACTAAGCAGTGATCCTGCGTACGTAGCAAAAATTATTCTGCAAACGTAAAAATTACCTGACTTGATACAGTCTTGTTCTCGGATTTCAAGGCAGGAGCCTCCTCTCTTTGCACAGGCATATCCGCTGTGAACAAAAATTAATACGGTCTTCGGTGGAAAAAAAAAAGAGAGAGAGAGAAAATGAAAACAAACAAATCGCAAATCAGAATTCAGGACGAATTTTAGGCAAAAAAAATACGAAGTTGTGTCCTTGGGCAAATATGTACATGCATAAAGAACAAAAATTACAGTACCTTCTTGGATAGCAGCCATTGTGTATCACTTTTAATGCTATGTAACTATTTTTGTGTAAAATTAGCGGCCCAAATTCCAACGCAGCAAACGCGTTATAAACCTACTCTGACTGTGAGAAGAACGTTTGCATTCATGACGTAATAATGAACTACACGCGCCTTATACTGCGAAGCGCGCGCTCGCACGCGCGGCTACGCTCACAGCTAGCCATAGCGCACTGCAAGAGTTTTTATCAGGGCGGAAAAAGATTTAAATGTAATATTGGAGTTTTTATGGATTTGAAATTCCTCCGAAAACTCTGAAAACTATCTCCAGGTTTCCTTTGACAAGATACGATAAAGTTTAAACTTTCCCTGTCGTTTGAGCGTTTCTGTATGCC